CACAGTGACATTCTTATCTTGGTGCACAGAGTTGACTTATTTTGGTAGACAATATACACTACGGAGTATATAAGTAATGCATGTTGGTGTTTGTGCAGTTAGTAAAAAAGAATTAGCCACTTAGGTGGTAGGGAAAAAAATTATGAAGTCCCAGGTTTCGATTAGGTGGTAGGACAATATTTCACCCTCCTGTCCATTCAAAGTCCCAGGTTTTGATGTTTTACATTATGTTCTAACTAACCAAACATAACCAAATTGTATGTTTGAATTTTTAGAGACATATTCACACTAGGTTTAATTGGTTTTAAGTGTTGTTGTTACTTAACCATCCTAGAAGTACTTTGAATCAGGTGAAAGAATGTGCACAATCAAAACTTTAATGTATATGAGAAACAAGTGTGAACCATTTCCTGGGGATTGTATAAAAATATACTTCGTATTAGAGTTTACTTTCAACTATTATGATTTGAAACATCTCAAGCAAGTTATATCAAAGATCCTTTGTTATAGGGTATCAATTTTATAACACCTCATTTAGCATACTCTCACGTATTAATGAACGATTGGAGGGTCAGATGAATATAAAAAGGGAATTTTTCAATAAAAAATGAGTAGAGTTTTGAGAAGTGTTTATTTTTTATTTATCTAATAGTACTTAATGATTTCTGCTTTATAAGTAAAACATGTGCAACATTCAAAAAAAGTAAAACATGTGTAAGACCAGTTTTTTAACTTTATTTTAACTTCTTAGGTTCAATTTTTGTAATTTATTTTAATGGAACACTCCAAGACTCATAAATTAAAGGTAATACTTTAGCTTGAAATACATTTAAAAATCTAGGAAACATTATAAAAGAATAGCAGTTTAATTAGTATATGCAATTGGAGGCTTAAATAGAAAGCAAACTTTTAAATAACGCTTTTAACCTTTTTTTTTTGGCTGAAATAAGGCTTCTAACCTTGGCAAAAGCGTTAGAGAAAAATCCTTTAAATAAAATTGGTATAAGAGTTTAAAAGGGAGATTGAGAACATGGGACCAAAACAGAACATTAACATACACTCATATAAAAGCATATTTCTGGGGCACACATGTATACATAGCCATAAATACCCTTAATTTACTCACAGGAGAAGGAAAGGCCCTGGCCCCAACCCCAGCCCCGACGGCTGAAATAGTAAAATGTTGCCGGTTGGAGAGAAGGCTCCGTGACTGAAATTTGACAGAACGATTGAATTGTCCATAGAAGTCTTTGGGTTGTACGTTGGTGTGCTTGCTTGGAGAGAAGCCAGCCGGATTGGCTTTTTCTGGGGGGAAATGAAGGCTTGATTTTTTTTGGGTGGAATGTATGAGTGGTCGGTTGGATGGAGAGGGACTTGGCGATTGGGGTTGATCCCTTGCTGGGAAAAAGGAAGGTTGTTCCTTCTAGCCTTCTAGGAAGGACTCATAGGTTATGGGCTGCTCATTCCAGACCCATTTAAACGGAAGAAGCGGATATATGGTTGCTATATACCCAACACTCACAAATGTGTTACTATAGAAGAAGAAAAACTTATGGAGTACTACGTAAGTACGTATGAAGTATTTGTTTAAGAAAATAATCTGTAAGGTTGCTACTTAGATTACACTACGTAATAGACTAATAGATTGGAATTTATTGAATAGGTTCTACCCATTTTAAAAGAAAATGTTCAAAGAAATCTATTAGTTGAATGTTTTTGTTTAGTATTCAAAGAAATGTTCAACAATGCTTAGGTTTACATTAAATCCATATTTACAATGTTGTGCTTTCAACGTATTAGTTAGATGTTTTTATCTTTAAAGTAATGCTTAGTACTCTCATTTTGACCATAATATTATAAGTGTGTTTCATTTAATGATTTCATATATATTAGTATTACATGAAGATATATGATGTTATTAATTGATAGTGTTATTTAAATCACTAAGCACACATAAATTTGAAAGAAAAATTATCAATTCGTATAGATAAAAACATAACACATTTCACATATCTGCACACCCCCTGATTTGTCAGGTTAGATCAGCAATTCGTCTAAATAATGCAATTCGTATAGATAAAGACATAACACATTTTCACATATCTGCACACCCCCAGATTTGCTAGGTTACATCAGCAATAAGTCTAAATAATGCAATTCGTACAGATAAAGACATAACACATTTTCACATTTCTGCACACCCCCCTGATTTGTCAGGTTAGATCAGCAATTCGTCTAAATAATGCAATTCGTATAGATAAAGACATAACACATTTTCACATATCTGCACACCCCCCAGATTTGCTAGGTTACATCAGCAATAAGTCTAAATAATGCAATTCGTACAGATAAAGACATAACACATTTTCACATTTCTGCACACCCCCCTGATTTGCCAGGTTACATCAGCAATTCGTATGAATAATGCAATTCGTATAGATATGATGACATAACACATTTTCACATATCTGCACCCCCCCCCCCGATTTGCCAGGTTACATCAACAATTCGTCTAAATAATGCAATTCGTGTAGATAAAGACATAACACATTTTCACATATCTGCACACCCCCTGATTTGCCAGGTTACATCAGCAATTCGTATGAATAATGCAATTTGTATAGATATGATCACATAACACATTTTCACATATCTGCACCTCCCTGATTTGCCAGGTTACATCAGCAATTCGTCTAAATAATGCAATTCGTATAGATAAAGACATAACACATTTTCACATATCTGCACACTCCCCCTGATTTGCCAGGTTACATCAGCAATTCGTCTAAATAATGCAATTCGTATAGATGCAATGTCACCATATTATTTAGTAATTATAAAAATTTATACATTCAGTTAACATATATAGACCTTTGATTTGAAAATGAAAAAAAATTTTGTAAAAAATTTACTTGAATGAAGGATTTTAATAAAAGAAAATTTTCGAATATGACTAAATAAGTTTGAGAATTCCAAAGTAATATTGTCATGTTTTTATTGCCAAAATAGGTGTAATTAATGTCAAGCTTGAAAAATAATGGACTATTCTGTAATCATTAGTAAATTGTATTTTATATGTTTCATTTACGTCAAGTTTTATTATTGTATGGAGTATAATTCTAAACAATTCAATTAAAATTATAAGTTTGTTTAATTTTTCATTAAAATGTTGGCTAATGTTAATTATACCCACGAAATTTCACCAATCATGCATCACACGGGTATTGATGAAGAAGAAGGAACCACTGACAACACTCAGAATGTTGTATTCTAAAAGTGTTCAACAATATTTAGGGTTACATGAAATGTATATATGTACAATGTTATGGTTTATAAGTATTTGTTGGATGTTTTTTGATCTTTTAAGTAATACTTAGTGCTCTCTTTTAACTATAATACCTATTATAAGTGTGTTTTGTTTATTGCTTGAAGTTATACAAATATTCCATGGAGATAGATGTTTTCATCAATTGATAGTGTAATTCGAATTAATGAACACAAATAAATTTGAAAGAAAATTCTCTGACCGTGCATCGCACGGGTGAGTTTACTAGTTTCTTATTGAAAACATCATGGATCAAGACAATCATTGACTAAGAAAATTCAACATGAAAATATTATATTAGCATGAGAAAGAATATATTTTGTAACTATTTATTTTATTCCTTTTGGGTGATTCTTATTATGGTGCTCTTTTGTCTAGGGCCACACATTCCCTCAAGCCGGCCCTGTAGAGAGATTTCCCAAAATAAGAGTAAATAGAGTCTGGAATTTCAAAACGGACTACTATGTTTTTATTTCCGAAATAGGACTAACATGACAGTATCTACCATCATTTTATAGGCATGACTGTCAAATAGTTGCAGTACAGTGCATTTAACATGACAATATTTATTATAATTCATGACAATATTTTTTAATCATGACAGTATTTTTCATACATGACAGTAACAATTCCCATTTCGGGAAGAAAAACATAGTAGTCATACTTTTGGAATTTCAAACTTCATTTACTCCCATTTAGGGCAATTTCCCAATTCAATATCAAACACATAAACTCATTTTTCCTAATAATCATGTCACATTCTCTTATCACAATGTTAGTGAGACGGAAGTAGAATGATTTAAAAAGTCAAACATATCTCTAAAAAGAGATAAATTCGGAGTTTTTGATTTTGTTGTTGCTTCAGATTAATTTAAAAATTTAGTGGGATCTTAATTTACCACTTGGGGTGGTGCCAGTGTCCTCTTAACTATTAATGCTCACAATAGGCCGTTGCTAGTGTCCTATTCATTCATATTTTAATGAAATAATCACAGAATATACACTAATAACTTTTATAGATAAAAATGTAATTTATAAAAGGGGAAACTGTCAAATAGATATACGTACTTTTCACAAAAAGTCAATTAAGTTCATGTACTTTTTAAGTGATCAATTAAGCCAATGAAGTATGAAAAACTAACCAAATCAGCCTTTTTATGGGTAATCAACCGGTTACCCGGTTGACTGCCTACATGTCTGTCTAGTTGGTCTTTTTTTATACTTCCTCCGTTCCTTTTTAATTGCAACAGTCAACATTTCACGCTTGCCAATGCACAAGTTTGACCATTAATATCTTTCATTCTTTATTAGTAAAAAAATTAAAAACACTACTAGAAAAATGGTCTATAGTAACACTAAATAAGTGTCACAGAAAGTTTTTATGACACTAGAAAAGTGTCATAGAAGGTCGGGAATTATGACACTAAATTTAGTGTCACCGGTAAAGTGTCACTAATTTCTGACATTAATGTATCACAAAAAATTATGACAAAATAATATCACTTTATATTTTGACACATTAGTATCAATTAAATTTATGATACATTGGTATCACATGATATTAATTTTATATAAATGTTTATATATATATATATATATATATATATATATATATACACACACACACACACGCACGAAATATAAGATTTTTACTGAAAAATAAAAATGACAATGTATGAAAAATCAAAAGGCACTTTATTGAAAATAAAAAGAATTATCATTTACAATTCAAATGTCATACACCTTCCAACAAAAACTCAACTAAATCTATAATCTATAATAAACTAATTTGAGATCCTCCAACTGCTAGAAGCTCCGCCTATGACTAAATCGGTTGATCTTCAACATGAGACTAGTGCTTCCTACTTCTTGGTGGCTTTTCAATATCTAAAAGAAATAAAACCAAGATACATTAGATAGCTACAATGAAATGAATATAATGTATATGTGAAAATGCCAAACTATTGTTGCTAAAAAATAACCTCTGATGGTAGATGAACACCAAAAGACTCTCTTTAAGAGCTTACTCCATCACCTGTTCATTTTTTGCTTGTTAGTTCCCATAGTTTAATATTTGATCTCATACATCCAATTGCTAAAAATAGGCACAATGTTAGCCTATATACTACTACGTATAAGCATTTCATAAATATTAGCATAAGTTTCAAAAGCATATACTCAAATAAAAGTAGAAAGTGGATACCGCATAATCCAGTAAAATGGACACAAAACTGAAATTTCAAATCCCATAGGAATCACTTAAAAACAAGCAATAAAGAAAACAGAGAGGCAAATAAACAAACCCCATTAGTGTTATACATGGAAAGGGCGACTACACCAGCTCTAGTGAAGTTGAAAACCTCAAATTCTGCCTTTTGATCCTGCTTTCCTTTTAGTACTGGAACAAGAAATAACAACTCATTAACAGAGTATGTCTGTTATATACTAACGAATATAAGTATTGGTGCTCTTTAAAAGTTGCTACCCCCATCACAGATGTATTGGTGCTCTTTAAAAGTTGATCTTCTGTGCTGAAACTTGAGGTAGACAAATATTAAGACCCCCCATATCATGGATGTATTGCGCATCCACTCTCATCATTTATAATACATATCATGGACATCATATTACTGTAAAGTCTTATTTAGGTTTTATAAAATTGTAAAGAATCTAAATGCCGCGACAGAATTTAAGACTACAACCATGCTCATGGAAAACAAGTGCTCCCTTTATTCGCTTTTAGCCATCATTTTAAAAAGTAAGTATGCTGCAATTAATTGTGGCTTTAACATATCAAGAAAGCACTCATTGATCATTTTCCACTCTTACCCTTCGCTGTGTATAATTGTTATCGAAAAGTTTAAAGCACTAATAAGGTTATTCTAGTCATATTAAGCTTAGTTAATCCAAGTTTACAGAGTTCAAGCTAGAAGATGATCTGATAGTCTAGCTTGCTCCTGGTGTTGCAATAAAATAAAAATAAACCTTAACACAAGAAGTACTTTTCTCCCAACAAAATGAACCAAATGCATACCTTAGAAGGCTTTGATGCTCACTCATTAGCATTGCCTACATGACATTTAGCTCACAAACTTTAGCTTCTCCTTCCTCTGTAGAGACTTGCCCTTTCTCAACAAGGTCAGTCTTATTCAAGTTGAAAATGAACTTGTAAATTGACTTCAGATTCTGAAATTTAGCTTCTAATTCAGCTCACGAGCTTTAGCTTCCAACTGTTACAAGTTTAGCATCAATTCTGAAAATTAACTTGAACTTTAGCTTCTAAATTTGAAAATTAACTTGAAAACTTTGACTTGTAATCAATCACAAAACAACATAGAAACCAACCTTGTGATTTTCACTACAATAACAACGTCAACTACTGCCAATGTAGCTCTATAAGCAACCACAGTTGTAGACTTTTTATTATTTTCCGTTTAATCCTCCTAAGTCATATGAAGTGGAACACTTAGTTACAACCAACCATTATGCGAATTTGTGAAACCACAGTAAAAAGAAATTAAATTGATCAATATAAAGATAACTAATAGTGCAGACCTCTAAAGCAGCACTTTTAACCACTTATCTGGCAACAAGAGTATGGTACATTGATACTCCCTCTATTCATATTTAGATTCTTGCTATTTTACATTTATGGTTAAAAAATCAGCACATTTGAAATGGGAAATCAGCAGATCTTGATCAAGTAACTAGCAGCTGCACTTTTGACAATCTAAATAGCAAGTAAAAAATTTAGATGAAAAATAAGATGATAGAAGTCAGCCAGAATACCAAACAACGCAAAGACTTTACCTAAAAGAATGAAACAAAAAGTTGTTGGATGAGAGAATAAAATAACCGCTCAAACTCAATTTGTGTATGTATTTTTGTTCAAGGTTATTTCTTCCATACATACAATGGAATATAATTTCAACAGCTTCTGACATAAAATGTAATTGTAGCTATAAATAAGTACTCTATAGTTAAACACACTATAAATGAAACTGAATGAAAATAAAAGTAGGTGTATAAAGTCCAATACCTTTGAACATCTCTTTTTCATTTCTCTAAAACAATTGCATAAGGACTTTTAGGCATTGGATGGCTTATGAGATGAGCTCCTCTATAAATTGATGAACATCTTCAATACAGTGCTCTGACTTGTCCATCAAAGAAACTATCCAAATTACCATTTCTTCTTAAAAAGGATGTTCCCTCATATTAAGAACAAATCTGCATAATTTGAAGGGAAAAAAAGCAGAGATAGAAACATCTGAATCCCTAAACCATAAAGCAGCCTCAAGATTAATGATTGTGGAAGAGGAATGACCCCTCTTTGTTTCAATATTCGTACAGCAATTGAGTCAATGATTTGAAAAGCAATTTTTTTACTTTCAATCCTAACATAGATCCGGAGCTAGAGAGACCATCCGGTTGTGTTATGTGGAAAATACCTCTGTGAAGATCTCCCATTACTGGGATGAAGGCACAATGTTCAGCGTCGTCAACACCATCAACGCCAAATAGAGGAATCGGACTATGGCTGGCGCAACATCATCTACAGGGGACGACGCCATCACTTCCACCCCAATCGCCGATTCCCGTCGCTCCCAAGCACCAACTCGGAAATCAATTGGGCAGCGCAGAACGATAATTGCTACCACCTATTACGACTCGGAAACAAAATCCCCTCCTGAAGGTCCATAAAATCGCAATTCTACTGCAAAGACCCTAAATCATCTGAACACTCTACAAAATTTCGAATAAGTTTCCAAAGGATGAAGAACGAGTAGATGGAAAAAGCACATACCTGGAAATTGGGGGAAACCGCTACTCGGACGGGAAACGGAACTCTCTGGCTCTGTCAAATAGTCGCTCGATCGTGAAGGGGTAAAGCTTCTACGAACAAACGCCTGAGCTTCTATGAACGAACAAATTGAAGAGGACGGTAGAGTTCAAATTTGTAGTGGGTGCGGCGGCTAGGGTTCATACGAAGGAAGAGGATGAGTAAGGGAGTGTTTGCAATTGCTTCAACTTTAAAGAAGTGATTTTTTAAAGTGATTTTGGGAAAAGTGATTAATAGTAAAAGTTGGTAGTGTTTGAAGAAAAAGTGATTCTGAAAAAGTAAAAGTTGGTAGTGTTTGGTAAAAGAAGTACTTTTTGTGTAATAGAAAAAGTGAAAAACAGTTTAAAGCACCCTTCCACCTGCTTCCAGCTTTTAGCTTTTAAGTGATTAATTTAAGCAGAAGTTGTCATTTGAAAACACTCTTTTTAACTTTTTTTAAGCCAAAAGCTGAAAAGCACTTTTTTTAATCAAATGCAAACACTCCCTAAAGGTGATTGAGGATGGGGGGAGAAGTTGACGATAAAATAAAGTGAAGTGTTAAAATATAAAGTAAAAATGTCCAAGTAAATAAAAAAAAACGGGTCTAATGTCAGTAAAAAATGTTGATATTATTATGTCAGAAAAGCATGACACTTATATGTGAGAAAGAACATATGTGACACTTTCGGCCAGAAAGTGTCACTAACAAAGTGTCATTATAAGCCAGTTTTCTAGTAGTGAAAATTCATATTTTGAAAATTTAGAATGAGAAGAATTTAACAATATTTTTTAAAAATCTATTTTATTATACCTCAATTAATAAAATGTAGTCAAAGTAGAACATGTGAATAGTGTAAAAAGTCCAATGTTGCAACTAAAAGAGAACGGAGGTAGTACTATTTTCCATTTGTTTATACTCCCTCCATATTTAAAAGAAGACTACGTTTGATGGTGGCACAAGATTTAAGAAAGAATGGTAAGGGTAATGAATAATATAGAAAAAGTAGGAGAGAAGGTGAAAAAAAAGAAAGGAGAGGATAAAAAGTAGAAAAAGTAAGGTTAATTGAGTATTTTTAAAGGAAAAACTTACCAAAAGGGGAAAGTATAGGGAACTTTTAAACACGTCCCAAAAAGGAAAGTGTAGGGAACTTTTAAATACGGAGGGAGTATTATTTTTCGTTTTCTTTTTCTTTTTCATTTACTTTCCGTTCTTTTGTTTATACGGAGTGCTATTTTTGTTTCTTCTTCTTTATGTCGCTTCTCCCGTTCTCTGTCATTTCCCAATCTTCTCCATGCTTCCTTCACTTTCAATCTTCTCCCTAAAAGATCTACTCGTCTATGGAAGCTTGGCCGGCGGAGACAGAGGCTGGGGCGACTGGAGGTCGATCCAATAGATGTGGCGGTGAAGATCGATGGAGGTCGGTGTGATTGGAGGTCATTCCAATCGATGAGGCAAAGATAGATAGCGCAGAGGTGGTGGTCGAAGGTATTTGTAAGGAAGTTGGGGCGGAGGAGGTGGAGGACGCACGCGAAGGTGGGCGGCTATTGATGTCGGGACGTTTGGAGGTTGCCCTAATGGATGAGGCGGAGGTTGAGGCTGCAAATGTGGTGGCCGGAGGTGGTGTGTAGGGAAGTAGGGCGGCGGAGATGGAGGCCACACACGGAGATGGTAGTTATGGACGCCGGGGCACCGCTCCAATGGAGAAGGCAAAAGTGGTGGCCAGAGGTTGTTCTAAGAGCAACTCCAACAAGCACCAAATTCAACAACAAAATGGTGGATTCGCCAAAAAAATGTTCCAACAATCACACCATTCTTTGCACCATTGCACCATTTTGGGGGAGAGGGAATGACTTTATACCAAATATGGCGTACGCCATATCTGACACCTTCTACTTTTTGTAATTTCTCTCTTTCAAATGTGACCCAAAGTTTTTATTATTATAGTTTTGATCCATTTTTAAAACAACAGATTAGGATGTTTTACTTGGACTGTGTGAAATATAAGATTGTATTCATTATACTTCATATGAAATCCTATACAAGAAGCTATATTTATAGCTATATTTAGAGTACTAGGGTTTCCTATACAAGATATACAACTGGGCTAAGCCCAATACTACTAGGGTTTCCACACTCCCCCTCAAGCTGGAGCATATAAATCATATTTACAAATATATTTGTACCAAGCTTGTTACAAATATATTCCACTCTAGGACCTCTAAGAGACTTAGTTAAAATATCTGCAAGTTGTTCAGTTGTGTTCACATATTTTGTGATGATATGTCCACTCGTGATCTTCTCTCGGATAAAATGACAATCAACTTCAATATGTTTTGTCCTCTCATGATATACCGGATTTGATGCGATGTGCATTGCAGCTTGATTATCACACATGAGTTGAACCGGTTTTGTGTTTCCATATTTTAACTCTTGGAGGAGATGCTTCAACCATAAGATTTCACATGTAGCAAGAGCCATTGCAAGATATTCTGCTTCAGCACTAGATCTGGCAACCACATCCTGTTTCTTACTTTTCCATGAAATTAAGTTTCCACCAATCAAGATGCAATATCCCGAAGTGGAACGTCTATCCATCGGACATCCGGCCCAGTCTGCATCACAGTATCCCACAATATCATGGCGGCCTCGATCTTCAAACAACAATCCTTGCCCTGGAGTTTTCTTGATGTATCTCAAAACTCGGATAGCTGCATCCCAGTGTCCAGTACATGGCTTATCAAGAAACTGACTAAGAACACTTACCGCAAATGAAATATCTGGTCTTGTGATGGTAAGATAATTCAATTTGCCGATGAGTCTTCTATATTTTTCCTTGTTAGACAAAAGATCTCCCTGTTCTGATAAGAGTTTAACGTTTGGATCCATTGGTGTATCCACTGGCCTGCAATCTAGCAAACCTGTTTCCTCCAGAATATACAAGGCATACTTTCTTTGTGAGAGAGCAATTCCATCTTGAGATTGTGCGACCTCAATGCCAAGGAAGTATCTCAACTTTCCCAAGTCTTTTGTTTGAAATTTGCTAAACAGATGTTGCTTGAGGAGCACAATTCCTTGATCATCGCTACCTGTAATGACAATGTCATCAACATACACAACAAGATAAATACATTTGTTGCCAGCAGAATGTCTGTAGAATATAGAATGATCAACATCACTGCGAATCATGCCAAAGCTGCAGACAACGGTACTAAACCTCCCAAACCATGCACGTGGAGATTGCTTCAAGCCATATAATGAACGACGTAATCTGCACACCATACCAGACTCCCCCTGAGCAACAAATCCAGGCGGTTGTTCCATATAAACTTCCTCGTGCAGATCTCCGTGAAGGAATGCGTTTTTAATATCCAATTGGAACAATGGCCAGCGGCTCATTGCTGCCATGGATAAAAACAAACGAACTGATGCAATCTTTGCTACAGGAGAAAAAGTGTCAGTGTAATCAAAGCCATATATCTGAGTATACCCTTTCGCCATAAGGCGTGCTTTAAAACGATCAATCTCCCCATCAGGCCCCACTTTAACTGTGTAAATCCACCGACATCCCACCACTGATTTGCCAGCGGGAAGGGGGACTAAGTCCCATGTCCCACTAGAATGAAGAGCCTCCATCTCAGCCAACATGGCTTTACGCCACTCCAGGTGTGCCAGTGCCTCAGGTGTGGTTTTAGGAATGCATATATGAGACATGTGGGAAATAAAGGCATAATAAGGGGTAGAGAGGCGGTGATAACTCAAAAAATTATATATGGGATGTGGATTCAATGTGGAACGCGTACCTTTTCGGAGAGCAATGGGAAAATTATCCTGAGTGGTGTCAAGTGTTGGAGTAGGTGATGGTGGTGATGCAGGATCCGTCATAGGGGAATCAACGGGCGTGGCCACGATGGGCTCAATGGGAGGAGGTCGAGGACGTTGATAGTATACCTGCAATGGACGGTCTGACATAGGAGGGCAGTTTGGATGCTCATCAGATGGGGGGTTAATGGGAGTCTCCTGATGGATGGGCCGAAGATATGAGGTGAAGTCCAAACACGATGGGGTATCAACTGAAGATAATGGATAATAAAAGGACGACTCAATGAAAGTGACATCGGCTGAAATAAAATGTTTCTTAAGTAATGGAGAATAACAACGATACCCCTTTTGGAGTCGCGAATATCCAAGAAAGATACATTTTATTGACCTAGCCGCCATTTTAGCTAATCCAGGTGTCGTATCATGGACAAAACACACACACCCAAACACATGAGGTGGTAATGGAAATAAATCACGAGCAGGAAACAAAATAGAATAAGGAATTTCATTATTAAGAACTGAGGAAGGCATTCTAATTATTAAATGACACGCAGTGAGCACAACATCTGCCCAATACTGAGGTGGTGTATGGGAATGTAATAATAGGGTACGAGCAGTATCAACAAAGTGTCGGTTCTTGCGTTCAGCAACCCCATTTTGTTGAGGTGTGTGAACACAAGAAGATTGGTGAAGCATACCCCGTGATGTCATGAATTGATTAAAGGATGCCCCAAAAAATTCTTTAGCATTGTCACTGCGTAAAATTTTTATAGAATGACCAAACTGAGTTTGAATTTCAGCACAAAAAGTTTGAAAAATATGAAACAATTCAAAACGCTCTTTCATTAAAAACAACCACGTGTAACGGGAAAAATCATCCACAAAAATAACAAAATAACGGAAACCTAAAGTAGAAGTGACTCGATACGGACCCCATACATCTGTATGAACTAAATCAAACGGTGATGTAGCCCGTTTATTGACTCGCCTTGGAAAGGAGTTACGAGGTTGTTTTCCAAGGTGACATGACTCACAATCTAAAGATGAAAGATTTGAGAAACCTGGAACCATACGTTGAAACTTTGAGAGACTAGGATGACCCAGACGGTTATGTAAGGTAATAGCAGGTTCAATTGAAACACAAGCGACTGGATCAAGAGGATGGAGATGATACAGACCTTGAGATTCGTGTCCGACGCCAATCGTTTTCCCCGTACAACGGTCCTGCACAATCACAGAATCAGCAGAAAATGTTGCAGAACAATTAAGAGCACGTGTAATTTTACTAACAGAGACGAGGTTAAAAGGGGTGTTTGGGACATATAAGACGGAGTCTAACGGTAAGGATGAAAATGGAAGTGCTTGCCCAATACCCGAAGCAGAAGTTTGAAGGCCATTAGCAAGAGTAATCAAAGGAAGATGTCGGTGCTTGGTAATATGGGATAAAAGATGGGGATTACCAGAAATATGGTCTGAGGCACCTGAGTCAATGATCCATGAGCCTGTTGTGTTTGAAACACAAGCTGTAGACATCCCGGGTGTGGGTAAAGGCATATTAGTCAACTTAAATTGCTGATATGCTGCATATTCTTCCGGTGATAGAACAATGGGAGATGGTGGTAGCTGAGCAACATGGGCTGAGGGAGGAAGTCTCCCATGTAATTTCCAACACCTGTCTTGAGTATGACCAATTTTATGACAAAAATCACATTTAGGACGATTCCATCTTGAGTATCCGGTGTTGTTTCCTCTGTCAGAACTCATAAGAGACATATTTTTTTTTATGCTGATTTGATTTTTTTTTTCTTTTTTTTTTCTCTTTCTTTTTTTTTAATCAAAAGAAAATGAGTAAATTAAAAGTGAATTTAGTGCTTTGTAAATAATAAGGCAGAGAGAGCACCCGGAAGCCAGACTTGGCAGCAGCAACGGACAAGAGCAGCCAGTCTTGGACTCTGGCAGTAACAGCGGATGAGAACAGGAGTTCACGACACAAACCTGACTTCGGCGAAAAGGGTAGAGCAGCGGCGGGCAGGCGGAGCGACGGCGGCAACGCGAGTGTTCGGCGGCGGCGCGTAGGTTCAGCGGCGGCGCGTGGGTGTCCGATGAGTGCCTGTGTTATGCTGTTGTGGTCGCCAGAAGCTCCAGGTCTTCAGTGTGTTGGCTGTGAGCGCTCCGAATAAGTAGAACGGAGTAGATCTGCAAATATGTTATTCAGCTGCAGTACGGAGCGGTGGCGTGTGAGGGCGTGTGAGGGCCGTCGTGTCGGTACTGTTCCGGGTGGTTGGTCGCGATGGTATGCTGACCAAGGCGGTAGGTGTAGATCAGAGATTCACTACCGGAAGTGTGCTCCAACACCACTCACAACTACTGTTCACGCCTGAAATGCTTGCCGGAAGCCAGCGCCCTAACTATTGCCATATAGGCTCTGATACCATGTGAAATATAAGATTGTATTCATTATACTTCATATGAAATCCTATACAAGAAGCTATATTTATAGCTATATTTTGAGTACTAGAGTTTCCTATACAAGATATACAACTGGGCTAAGCCCAATACTACTAGGGTTTCCACAGACTGAAATTTGTTTGTCCGCTCTGGTCTGGTCTGATAACTAAACTAAGAATATTTATTTAATCTATTGCTTTAAGTTTAAGTAGTACTTTATTAATGACGTACAAATTATTATAATATTATTGTAATATTTAATTTTATGTGGTTTTAGCTTGTATTTGTGAAATATTGATTATTGTATTTTAATTAGTGAAATGCGTGAATATACATATTAAAATGGTGTATTTTAGTTTGTATGTGTGAAATAATGTGTGAAATGTCAAAATATTAAATGAGGGGCTAATGTATAAATATATGATAATTAGATACTTAAATAGAAGAATGGTAAAAAGTTAGTAATAAGAATAAAAAGAGAATATTCCTATTTGGTGGTGAAAATAGTGTAAACTGTTGGAGATAAAATACTGTTTGATGTGATGTTTACACCATTTTTACATTAAAATGGTGTAGGACATCCACGTAGGCCTTAACCGGGTAACCGGTTTATTATCTACGAAAAAGCTTATTTGATTGTTTTTTGATACTTGACGGAGTTAATTGACTCACAAAAAATTACATGGACTCAATTGACTTTTAGTGAAAAGGGGGTCAACTTATTTGAGAGTTTTCTCTTTCTAAAATTTATACATATGTATGACAAAAAAAATGTTATGGATAAAAATATGACTTTTTATATAAAGTGAATATGATAATAACTTTAGTGACTATAAGTCTATAATCATGTTTGACTTTACATTATAGTGACAATGAAGTTACGTTATATAAATAGTCACATAAAATTGAACATAACACTTTAAAGAAAATTGAGGTCTTTATTTTGCGTGTCTTTTTCTTACATGTCCACAATAGGCTGGTGAATCTAGCCGGCTAATTCCCACCTCCAAGGGTTCTCCTAAGGATGGCAATGGGGGCGGGGACCCGTGGGGAACCGCCCCGTGGGGGAAGGATGGGGCGGGGCTTGGGGGTGGAGGTGGGAATGGGTGAGATATTTTACTCCGTTAAAATATGGGGCGGGGGACGAGAATTGCTACACCCGCCCCGTCCTCACCCCGTCCCCGTTATAAATATACACAAACATATATATATATATATATATATACATATATATATAAATAATGTACAAACATATTAAATCAAATAAAAACTCAATAAGTCGAATGCATTATCAGAATATTCAAATAGAACAATAAACCCGCAAATGACGTCAATGATAATTTTTCAATTACTCATATTTGTGTTGGGATGGAGGTAGTATATAAATAGGAATTTATAATTCTGAAATATAAAAGTTTGTACATGTAGAACCTTCAAAGGTATACCCTTAATTTGAGTCTCTCCACCCTTGAGGGCATAGGAAAGGCAAATCAACTTTGCAAACACAGAGTTCCATCCCCCAGCTTTCACCTTGATTATTTTCTTTGAATAATGAGTTTTATTACTAATAAGTTAGTTATAACTCTGATATAGGACACAATTCAATTACCATAGAAATTGAGGCCAGAAAAATTGAGGCCGGAGAAATTGAGGAGGGGCAGGATGAAGCTTGATACAAAACTTGAATACAGAAGACTTTTGGAATTTGACTTGTAAAAGAACTCTTATCAATGTTTGCTCACAACAATTCCAAATGCGCACAAGCAAAACTGATTCCTATATGGAAACATAAGCCTTCAATTCCATTCTCCTTAAAGAACTCAAAAGTATTTCCACTGTTAGCACATGATCTATGTTCGGGGATATAGAAGTTTTCAACTCGAGTTGGACTCATACTCATTCTTTCTCTCAAGTCTCACCTGATGCCTCCTATTGTAAATAAATCTACCTCTATTGTAACTACTTTAATCCAGACCTGAATTTCAGTGTAATATGAAGTATTTTTACCTGATAGCAGGTCATTTAAAAGGGGTGATAGTTTTAGATAGGCTAAACACCCAACAATACCTAACTCCTTTCATGGACTTGAGGTAAGGCATCATGTCCCACCTCTTTGTAATCTTTCCACTTTTTAATAATATTTAGTAAGTTATGGCTAATTCTGAACAGCCAACACCGGGATAGAAGCATCTGTTGGGTGTGTTTCGGAAAATAAAGAAAATTAATTAAAATAAATTAAATAAAATGACGAAAGAAAACAGAAATAAGATGGAGCATAAATTAGTCAAAGCTCGTGCTACGCACGATGTCCTTAAAACGTATTTGTTGCCTCTCACGGTGCTAGGAACGTTGCAACAATCGTTTCCCAGGATACAATGACTTCGAACTAATGTTTGAGCACACAAACAAGAGTTCCAACGAACGAGAACATAGTATGAACACTTAGGAAATTTTCGGAATGCTGGAGGTGTTTTAGAGTTCAGAAATACGTGAGTGAGGAATGTATATGAACGTGTGTATCAACGTGTGTTGTTGCAAACCACTTGTCAGCCATTATATAGGAGGATTTGTTGTGTGTAAATGGTGGATTAATGGACCTGAACATTGGACATCAATGACCAGTCCGTTGGGCATTGAATCATCCATTCAACGCTGCATTAAAAGATAAGAATGTTGGGCATTTAGAAGCTGTTCCGTTCACCTGATCTGAATGTTTCTGATCTGAATTTTTTAAGTTCTGATCTGATCTGATCTGAATTTTTCTGATCTGATCTGATCTGATCTGAATTTTTCTGATCTGATCTGATCTGATCTGAATCTTTCTGATCTGATCTGAATCTTTCTGATCTGATCTGAACGTTGCTGAACTGATCTGAATGTTGCTGATCTGATCTGATCTGATCTGAATGTTTCTGATATGATCTGAATGTTTCTGATCTGATCTGAATTCTTCTGATCTGAATCTTTCTGATCTGATTTGAATATTTCTATAATTCTAATTCTAATTATAATTATAATTATTAGATTTATAATTGTAATTAAAAATATAACTTAAATAAAATTACAATTATAATCATAATTATAAAAAAATAATAATTAAAATTAAATTTAAAATTATAATAATTATACCAATTACACTAATTATAAATACAGATACAATTATAAATGTAATTATATTTTTAATTATGATTAATTTTATAATTATTTTTTTGGAATTATAATTATAATATTTATCTCTATAATCATAATTATATCTATAATTACTAATTTAAATATATAATTACTCTGAAGTAATAATAATTACAAAAATAACAACAAGAACAACAATCATATTAATAATAATGATGATTATAATTATAATTACATTGTAAATCATAATTATAATTATATTTATAATTATATTATATTATATTATATTATATTATATTATATTATATTATATTATATTATATTATATTATATTATATTATATTATATTATATTATATTATATTATATTATATTATATTATATTATATTATATTATATTATATTATATTATATTATATTATATTATATTATATTATATTATATTATATTATATTATATTATATTATATTATATTATATTATATTATATTATATTATATTATATTATATTATATTATATTATATTATATTATATTATATTATATTATATTATATTATATTATATTATATTATATTATATTATATTATATTATATTATATAATATTATATTATATTATATTATATTATTATAATATAATAATAATTTTATATTATTAACATTATTATTATATTATTATTATTAATATTATTATATTAATATATTACTATTATTAACAATAACTATAATATAATAATCATAATTAATATAATAATAAAAGTGATAAATCATGTTTGAATTTTTTGATCTGATCTGATCTGATCTGAATGTTTCTGATCTGGTCTGATCTGGTCTGAATCTTTCTGATCTGATCTGAATGTTGCTGATCTGATCTGAATCTTTCTGATCTGATCTGAATGTTTCTGATCTGATCTGATCTGATCTGAATCTTTCTGATCTGATCTGATCTGATCTGAATCTTTCTGATCTGATCTGATCTGATCTGAATAAAATAAGATTAAGGAATAAGTAATAAGATTAAGACGAACGGAACAGCTTCTTAATGTTGTAACGGTTCAGAATGCGAACAAACAGAAGGCCAGAACGCGAACCGTATCTCTTGCTAGATAGATTTTTGGACGACATTCATGTCCGCAGGTCGCCCGCGCACGCAAATCGCGGTTTTTCTTCTCCGATTTCGGGATTTGATTTGCACACACACCCCCTGCGCGCGTGGAGAGAGCCTTTACCCTTAGGAATCTTAACTCCTTAAGGGGGGAGTCCCTTTATAAAGGGTTGGAAATCCCTTGGGTTTTCCACTTTTCCGGGGCGGGAAATTAACACACTAGAAACCCATCTTTTTTCCTATTTTTTCATTCTAACGGGTAAACTTCGAGAATCAATTTCCCATTCACCCGTTATCCGTTTTAAGCGTACTATATATCGAATTGTAGCTCTTAACAAGGACAATCCGAAACCACTCTGACCCGACCCAAATCGGAATTGGACCCCACTCAAAAATTGCCCCAAAATTACCATTTAATGCAATTTCAACACATTTTTCCAACAACATCACACCAGTAGTTACAAATAAAGCATATTGATTTTACCTCAAAGAGATCTATTCATACTTACCTTAGCAAACATAAGATCATTTCCACTATTTGAGTTTTGTAATGACCATTTTTCTTCTTTTCTAAACTATTAAATTAACAGTAAAAAAGTAAAAAAAAAAAAGAGAGAAAAAGCATTAGAAGGAAATATGAGTTTAAGAGTAAAGAAGGCGATAGTTAATTAGAAGGAATGTAAGGTCAAGCATAAAGAAGGTGATACTTAATTAGACGAAAAGATAAATTTAACAATAAAGAAGGTGATAGTTAAATATAATAAAAGATAATTTTAACATGACCTTATAGTTGCCTTCTTCATGTATATCATGGAATTAAAGTTTGAAGACTGATGAAGCTCTTCACCATTGTAGCTACTTTCCACTGGTTGTATTGTTGACTCATTACCTTCACTACCTGATTATACAAAAATCACACTCAGGTAAGTTAGTATAATACTGAACATTTTTCTTAGTGTCTAAGCAGCACTGATAGCTTCTACTTTGAAATTAGAACACATATAAGCTCATTCTCTTTTGAAAATAAGCACTATGAGAATAAAGAAGTAAGAATGGCAGATTTAGCTACTTTTGCATAATCGTATAGGTACTTAAAGTCTCATTGTCTTATTATTTTGATTTATTCATTATTCATTTATTTTGAATAATGAACTTTCACTACAAAAAAACATGGATTGTGCATCGAGTTCGATTAGCATGGACAACAAAATTTAAATCAGTCGCACAAACGTAAATATATGGGCATGAAAATTATTTTCGTTTCAAAAAACCAGATTAGTGCGACGACTTGGTAAAACCATAGCACTTACTGCCTTTGTGCGACAAAAAAATATTTTGAAGCCCATAATGCAACCAAAAGCTACCAAATCAATTTTATCGCAAACATATAATTAAATAATGGGCCAAATATAAAGGTGAGATAATTTCTAGGGAATTTTTCACAAATACTCGTAGATTAAAAGGTGAAAGTAATATCACTTTTCTCAACATTCAAACATTCTTTCAAAAAAAGATTTCCTACGCCTTTCTTTTCATAAATAGCCGATGCGTACAAAACCCCCAACTGGAATCTATGGTCCCAAGAAAAGCACGTGACCTTCCAATTCAGTAGTGCACGCCATTTTGATAACTCAATACAAATTGTAAGAATCACTCAATTCTTAAATTTATAACATAAATAATGTAAAAAAGATAAAATTAACTGGAAAACAATACTGGAGAAAATAAAATTACTTAAAGTAATAACAAAATAAAACATAAATTATAAATAATTTGAAGATTTGAAGTTAAATTATAAAAAAATATGCAGTATAATAAATTGATGAGAACTGAAAATAATGTAAATTCTTAATCAATTAAAAGCTTAAGTAGACAATAAAAATATTTAAAAACAATATATTAATATACAAATAAAAATATTAAAATATAGGGAACTCTTCCGGTAAGGTATACCTTACCGGAGCTTCCGTGCGGTCTCCACGTTTTGAGGGCCTTCCCGGTGGAAGTTTTCGATGAAATTTTTTGAGCATGTTCTTCATCAAGTCTAGTACATCCATACCAAATTTCAGCAAAAATTTCAATCAGGAAGGCAGTCAAACGAGTTTTGGAAGATAACTGTGTTTTATATGTATATAAAAGGTGCAGTTATCTTCCAAAAATCATTTGACTGCCTTCCCGGTTGAATTTTTTGCTGAAATTTGGTATGGATGTACTAGACTTGATTAAGAACATGCTCAAAAAATTTCATTGAAAAATTTCACAGGGAACGCCCTCAAAATGTGGAGGCCGCACGGCGGCTCCGGTAAGGTAGTATACCTTACCGGAAGTTTTTCCTTAATATATATATATATATATAATGAAAACATTAAAAAATCATATAAATATGTTATAAAAATGAAAAAAAAGTCAAAAAATTCAAAAAATATATAAAAAAGACGAAATATATTTAAAAAAATTCTAAGAAATTTTGATAAATACTTCGTATATAAAGCTGAAAAAATTCAATAAACTCATAAAAAATATTTTAAAAAAAGAAAGAGAAAATAAAAATATAAATGTGAAAAATAAGAACGCAGAAAAAAATGTGAAAAATGAAAATATAATGTAAAACTAATTATACCCGAAAATTTAGAAGATAACTAAATAAAATGAAATATAGAAAAGACTAGTAGAAAATGAAGGTAAATACATAAAAAATCAAAAAAGAAGATAATTAGAAAGAAACATGACAACTAAAAATTCTAAGAATGTAAGGTAAAATTGAAAAATAATACATGTACAATTAGCAAATTAAAAATGTGAAAATTTAGATAAAACTATAATGGAAATTTGGAAAAGCTGACCAAATATTAGAGAATATGATATGTTAAAACATTCAAAAAATCAAATTAATAGTTAAAAAGGTTCCTAGAATTAAAAAATAGTAAATTAAACAGTGTGTAAAAATTGAAATTCGAAAATCAAAAGGTGAATACAATAAAATAATGAAAATGAAAAATCATAATTTGAAAAACTTATACTTAATGAATTTGTACATTTTAATTATTATTGTTATTATCATTTAATTTTTACTTTTGTTATTATCATAAATTGAAAAATCACTATATCTTTGTTCTTTCCATTGTGTCTAAAATTTATCCAGATGTTGTTTATTTGACATTTTTTATTGATTATATTGCAGAATTAAAAACCACATTTTTTAATGATTATAGGAAGTCTTTCTCTACGATGCTGAAATGACCAAGATAAAGGCTGCAGATTTTAAATCAATAGAGGTAATGAATTGTATTACACTATCACATCCAGATTTTGTTTTTGGTTTTACACTTTTTAAAGTTCGAAAGGTTGTATAAAGAATTTAAAAACACTGACTAGCTGGTTTGTTATGTTCTCTTAAAGCTCATCATTGTTATTATTTTTGAAAATATTCAAGTTATATCCCACTGCCACTATCTCAACTTCATTATTGGTTATTGTTTCTCTTTCACCCCACTTTTGGTGTGTGATTATAAATTTCTTGCAATTCATGGTCCTCCCATATACTGAATCACTTATCCTGTCAATTGTATGACTTCTCATTGATTTTTCACTGGAGAAGGGCCTAAAGTGTTATGAAATTCACAGTCATGCATCAAAATGTAGAAAATCTATGTCCAATAAACTTGAGACAGAAACTCAGAAAGTAGAGAATTAAATGTAACCTACATTTCTTGCATGTTTTTTCGGTAAGTTTTCATTTGTTGCTTGTTGGACACTTGGACCCTACTGCGTCACATTGGGCTGGGTTGGACGGCTCAAATTTTCTCACCTTACTCCGTTAGACACACCCACATGCTCAATAGTGCTTGTTGACACCCTTTGTTTTGTAAGCCTCATCTCAGTATATACTGAGTTGGCACCTGACAAGGGTAGTATTATAGCGCTGAAATGAATTAACCCCTTTATCTGTTAAGAATTTATTCATCAGTTATAGTTTCATTATTCGTTGCTTTTATTTGATTTTTAAGTTG